CTCAAAGGGCCATCACGTGACAAATAAACAAAGGGGATGTTTGACAATACCGTACCGCTCACTGATGAATCCCAAGAAACCCGTGATGTAGCACCCGGATACCGCAACCCATTCGCACTCAAAACCTATAGCACCTTCCCTCCTGCTCGCACGAATGATAAGGCTACCAAATTGAACAACACGGATACAGATGCCATAACAAAAGGGAATAAACTAAACAAAAGCGCGCCTTTTGTCAATATATAATTAAACTTATTATCACCCATAACCTCCCAGGCCTCCTTATCCCACAACTCTCCAAAAAAAGACAAAGATCCCCGTACAGCCTTAACATACTATTGGGGGGGTAAGTGCTGTTAAGCGAGCATCTTATCAAGTCCGGCACGGCCAGTACCACCACGGCTGCCTTTGTCTCCCTAGTGGCGATGTTTACACACCGCACCAGGTACTAGTTTGAAGCGGAGTCTACCTATGGGGGGGGAGGTCCAGGAACGGTTCAGTTAATCGTGCCTGGTGTTCACTGTCGCCGGGAATCAAACTCGCGTCCCCGGCTTCGTAGTGCATCGCGATAGCCGCTCCATTACCGCTCCCCAACCCTACTCCATTCCCTCCATCTCCCCTTGGCTCGTGCCAACAAACATTAATTTTCCAATTTTCATTTATCCAACCTACCCCCCCTCCCCCAATTAAACATTCAGTTGCCCATCTTCTTAAAACAACCGTTCTTATTCCCTTCCAAACCCCCACCCCCCAATACAACCTTCGCACTCTCATCCCATCAAACCTCACCCGACCTCACCTCCCCCCAATCAATGCCTCTCCAAACCCCATCCAACCCTCAAATCGTCCATCTTGCCCATCAAACAACTCGCCATCTATTTCTACCCCAACAAACCAAAAACGCCATCGCTTTTCCCCTTCTACTTCTGTTGGCGTGCACACCCCTCTCCCCCACACACACACAAATCAATTCGTCTACCATCAAACTCATCCCCGATCAATGAGATCGACCACCCCACACCACCCACCCCGCACTGCCTCCCTCCAAGACAAAGATTCACCCGCGTAGCCTGTTAACAAGCCTGTTGTGGCAAGTGCTGTTAGCGAGCCACCTTATGAAGTCCGGCACGGCACGCGAAGGGGTGGTGGACAACAACCACGCCCGACCGCCTTTGTCTCCCCAGAGGCGATGCTTACTACGCACCCGCCCGCGCCAGGCACTCGTTTTGTTGAGTTGCCGTGTCGCCCGAGCGGGGAGGAGGAAGGGGGGTGGGGGGGAGGCACAGCACCGGTTCAGCTACTCGTCACCGGCTCAGCTACTCGTCAGCGGTGTTGGGCGACCGTGAGCGGGAATCGAACTCGGCCGGCAGGGTTCGCATTCGCAGCGCGCTCACCGCTCCCTCCCCAACAACTCCCTCCCACCACCACCGACCAAACCACCCACGCTGCCACGGCCCCATTTGCTCTCCTCGCGTCCTACGCTCGCGAATCGTCCACCTCCTCCTCCCCGCCGCTCACCCGGGCGCTGCGTTGCCACCGACGCCCGCCCTGCCCGCGGCGGCGGCGGCGTCGTCGCCGGGCCCCGACGAGGCCGCGTCTCCCTGCATCTGCGCGTTTAGCGACGGCGCTCCACTCGTCGCCCTCGCGGCAACGAAGTCCGCCATGGGGCTGTCCTGCGCGACGCGGTCTGAAGGACCCCCATCCACCGCCTATGCCTGCCTGGGCTACCTTTGAATAGCCGAGGCGAAGGTTCAGTACGATTTTTTTTTAAATGTAGGTGTTTTTTTTATTTTCCCCGACGGGCAAATGTTAATGCAAAAAATAGTAAAATGACTACAAAAAAAATTACATTGGGTAATTTTATTCGATGCGACGTGTTTTTCAGGCATGCAATGAGTCGCTCCCGCCACCAGTGATTTATCGGAACACGATCCGCAATCGATTACATAATCTATTTTTGTTTCGTTTTGTCTATTTCGTTCTATTCATCTACCCTATTTCTATTCTCCAATTGGCAAACAAACAATCAAGTCCTTAAATATATACGGTAATGTATATCGTTCATAAGTAAACCATTTCTACACGATACTGCTTACGAATCGCAATGTAGAAGAATCGATAATTTAAAAATCGTTACTCGCCGATTTAGGAGCCGGTTTACATTTTGCATGGGGGAGGGGAGTGCGGAGGGGGGGGCAGCTGCTGCCAAATGCTCGCACGCGATTGGTCAAGTGGCGCCAATAACACGTCACGTGCGCAGTACGGACCAATCAGCGGCGCGAGATTTTAACATTGTGGGGAATCTATTCGCTCGCTCCTGGGCCCTCCTCGTGGCTTCCTCATTGCCAGCCCTGAATCAGCAGGAGGAATCCGAGGAGCTATAAAGCTCTTTTTCACAGATGTCCACTAGGGGCACGGGGGGTGGGGATCAGAACGTTACAACAATACAAAACACGATTACGGAGTGCAAAGTATAGGAAAGGTAAACAAATGACTCAACGTATATACAAATAAAACCATATTTTTAATACCAGGAAAAGCCCACTAAGGTATTCGCTTATTTTTCAGAAGCCACAAATGATAGTTCAACAAAGTGGCTTAACAACAACGCCCAACACAGTCCTCAATAACGACGCGAGGGTTTCAAAGGGGGGAAACCATGACAATTGGCAACGTTTCGTGAAATGACCCTTCATAGTACATTAATATGTATATTTTTACATGTTATGAATAAGGGCCATTGCCCGAAACGTCACCTATTTCATTTTAAAGGCACGCGGTGCTATTGAACGTGTTGAGTTGCTTGTGCATCGCTGCTAATGCAGCTGTATTCAACAATATATTTAACACATTTTAACCAAATAGCTTTACCTGATGGTGGTATTGGTTACTGTACCCTTTATTTGCTTAATAATTTAACGTTCCCTTTATTGTGACAGCGTTTGATGTGATACAAAAAAACAAATTTGGTCATGTGAGTGTAATTGCGTTGCTGGAGCTAACTGCTGATTATTTTTTTACATCAGTAATTTTTAATATGGTTAAAGTGGGCAGGGATTTCATTGAAACAATGATTAATGCACAGCACAACTTCTGCACATTGAAATAAAACACTTAAACCCTCGGTAATGAATCATGTTTACATGGCCGAAATCCTCTGGTGTATTAAGGCTTTAAGGTAGAAGTTAACCACATTTGATTACAGCAATCTCTAAATCCACCCAATCACGTTACATCTTGGAAGCTTAGTAGCATCGAGTCTGGCTATTGCAGTGCAATACGTGGATGGGTGATTACCAGGGCTAGCCATGTGGGTGTGGGACTGTGATGAAGAGATGGGAAGTGTTGAGTGTCACCTCGCATGTATGAGTTTTCTCTTGGTATGTTTTCTCCCACACGCCAAAACACCCCCAATGCAATAACCTAAAAAATAACCTCGAGACTTATTGGGCCTTCTCTGGGTAAATAACTGGAATTATTCACGGTCATATGCGGGAGTAGGAGAAATGAATTAAGCATCCAGTGTTGAATAAAATAACCTTAAGAGTATTTAGGCAATGAACCGGAAAGAGAGGAAGATATAACAGAGAATAGCTTGACAACATATGAAATTGGTGTCAGAAAGATGTGGCACTACTTGAGCATATTGGCACAAGACAAATAACGAAATATGCAGTAGACACCTACGCGGGCTATCTGCCCATGGATCGTGACGATGATTTGGGCAATAAAATTAAAACCGATGATTAAATCACCGTGTGTCAACCAAGCAGGATTGAGCCTAATGATTTAATTGGGTGACCGCTATCCACAACAGGTTCTATAGGTATTCTTTGGGTCTTTTGGTAAATAGGTTCAAAGAAAATAACAAAAAAACTACGACGTTTCGATCGAAACACAAGCAGTCGTAATCAGGATGACGAAGTTTTTAGATATTTTCTTTGAACCCATCTATGTGACTTTACCGCAAAAACCCAAAGAATATGAATTCCTGCAGTCACGAAAACTTTAAGTCACGCGGCTGTGCCACGTGGTGGTGGCCAGCAGAGGGCAGTACAAAAAAATTCCACTGCACTCTACCATTACGTCTCCAACGCAAATCGCTACTCGCATTCGCTGTAACGATGACCAGGGTGGTGAAGTATGGTCAAAGTGTGTTCCCGCACGGTGGTATCCTTTAGTGATTGAGAAAACCACTTGAGTTTAGTTTTAGACTCTGACTCAATTTCCAAGTACTGCAATGTAAAACAAATGGCATGGGAGCACGCTGCAATCTAAAACCTAGAAAACAAAATAATGGGCATAAAAAGTAACGGGCGCACTTGCAATACGTGTAAAAATCCCTTATCAGTGCCTACCTTACATCACACCAATTCAGACCGAATTAGCCACCCCGTGCTCCTTATAAATCCCAACGTTCATCCGACAAAGTCCCATCGCAAGGGAGAACACACAAACAAATAAGACACTTTTTAGTGTGCACGTTTTGAAACTGCCTGTACCGCCGCATGGACCTGAAAACTCAACTTCCCCTGTACAGGAATAAGGGGTAAGCCGTATGGGTTGACAGGTATGCCACTCGGTATTATTTTTTTATTGAACATCGGCCACCATCCCTGTCCAAGCCCACTTTTCTCAACATTTTGAACTACGGCCTGAACAACCCACAGCGATGCATCTGCAGTGATTAATACCGAAGACGGTTACACGACGAGTCGACGCGGCTAACAAAGAGAACGCGAAATGAAAACCTCGTCACGTACACGCACGCGTGAACAGCGTTAAAAGCACTGCGCGGATGAACTTCTTTCGCACCGTACGCAGACAACCGCGCTCATCGCCGCCGAGGTTGGCGCGAGATCGCATTCACGGGCACGCATGTCCGAGAGAAACGACGGAGGAGGAAGAATGAAACGGCGGCCACGGGGGCGTGTTGTTGACACTATTAACAGTATTATCGGTGACCTCTCTCCTCCTCCTCCATTGACGTCAGGGCTCGAACTCGGAAGGACAAACGAGGCACAATCGGAAAGCGGTAGCGCCGCCGTCGCTACGTGTCTCGTGTTTTTTTTAACCTTCTGCTTCGGATTTTGTTGTTACGGGAGCTTCTTCTTCTTCAGGAGTACGCCCCAACACGCATTTGTAGTGCGCGCTCAAAATCAAACATTAAACCAGGGGCCGTCGTTCCCCCCCCCGCCGCCGCGTCACACTTCCCTCGTCCGCTGTCGTAACGCGGCGATTGTAACGAAGCGTTGGGGGGGGGGGGGCGATGGTGGACTCGCCCATCAAGACTCTTGGTGCACGGCAGGAGCTGCCCGACAGACCCCCCCCCCCCCACGGAGGTTGGCAGTGCGGCACAGCGGGATCGTGAACCAGTCCGTGCGGATCTTTTAAAAGCGGCCTGGTCACAGCTCTTCCCGTGTTTGCGGTGGGAGGTTTTTTTTTGTTTTGTTTAGTAGACACACTGCGTTTTAAAATAGCAATTTGGGGAGTGGGAAGGGGAGCGATTGAGCGACCTTCATGTGCTATATGTTAATTATAGCACATCATTAACGGGTTATTGCTAAGCAAAGTCTGGGAACCGGTGGGCATTATTTAGAGGCCTACTATGCAACCCGATTGCAGTAATCGTACTGTAGTTGCATTCTCAACTAGGGTCACACGGCAAGTGAAATTGCCAAGACCGTCACCTCTTTACCAGACTCTTAAAACGTGATCGAGTGTTTTGTGAATAATTGCATGCTGCGTCATGTGTGTTCTGCAACATGCATATGGGTAACGTTTGTCGCCATCCTAATGTTTCAGTCAGATACGGGACTTGCATTTTTAAGGACGCCACTTTTGCTTTAACGTAGAGCCAGCTCAAGCCTCGTTTTCGCACTCGGAAAATATTTATACGACAGGATAATGAACGCCTTTAAATGACGATTCAAACAAGCTGCGTTTCTAATTGTTCGACTGCTTTTTTATATACAGTAAGTACAGCATACAGGAAAATGTCATTTCCACATGTCAAACATGTTTCGAGTCAATGATGCTTGAGGCCTTTCAGGCCATTGCTTTTCGAGCGTGACTTTAAGCAGACAAACTATTGACCAGTTTTGACTGTGTGTGTCTCATAGGTAGTGTATCCTGTTAAATAAATGCCGTCGGTTTGCCAGACGTTTTAGGCAAAGAGCACACCGCGAAGACAAGGGCCTGTTCAGCACAAGACGTGCATATGTTCAACCCCCCACCACCTACCTCCAATTATCCCCAGTATTGTGGTTTCCATCAGGATCGGTGTGGCTTATTCCACCTGTCACCCACCTCCACCTATCCTCAATGTTGTGCTCGTCATAATGACTGGTAATGTTTTTTTTGTCACACCAACCGTCCTTGCTCTCTCAACTTTTCACAGTATTTGCGGTCGACATAAGAGGCTGGTAATGGCCTGGTCTGATCGCTTGGAAGCGGCCGTGAACGTCGCCCTTCGAGTGCCCGCCCTGGTCCTCCTGGATGCTCTCTACACGTGGGACGTGAGCACGCTGGTGTCACGGCTGCACACCAACAGTGACGGCATGCTCTTCAAGTACAAGTTTGCAGTATGGAATGCGTTCTTCCTCGGTGCGAGCCCGCACTCTTGTCATTTACACAGCTCAGTGTAACGTTTTAATGAGACACTGAATTTTTTGTTAACAAAAATTTAACATTTTGTCAGTTCAATGCTGGATAGTGCATGTACTGTATGTTGAACTTCTTTTTCACACCATACGTAGTCAACCGTGCTGTATCAGTCGTAGTTTTATGTTTCACGCTGGTCAGAGCTGGTCAGCGTGGGTTTGGTGTATGAGGAAGACGTCCCAGAACCAGTTCAGATATCACCATCACTTGCAACTCGTCTCACCTATGGCCAGCAATCAAACTCAGGTTGCTGTATTCAGTGCAGTGCGCAAATGGCTGCGCCACCGCTCCCCACCCGCCATTCGCCACTAAGTGGCGGTGACGTCACCACGACGCTTGTGCCAGGCCATGTGCACCTTGAGTCCACGTGAAGTGTCGAACGCCCGCTGGCAGGAGGTCACGGGGCAGACCCAAGTGCCACGGGTCGACTGACTAAGATGACTGAGATGATTGGCTGATGCACCACCTGTGCCCCCTACTGTGCCAACCTGCTGTGCTTTAGCCACCCGGCGCTCCGCTCGTTGTTGTGAGCGTCGCTCCTCCGCCCTCCGTTGTTGGAGGGCGACTACCTCCAACTGCTCAGTAGCGTCCTTCACGAGCCTCCTCCACAGAGGCCGATCTTGACACCGCTGGTATCAGTCATCGGCAAGTCCACTCAGCTCCACGTCCTCCTGTACCACATCACTCCATCTCTTCTCTAGCCCATGCCGCGCCCGTTTAGCCCCCTCGATCCGGCCGAACAAAAGCTGTTTCGGCATGTGGTGGCTGGGCATGCGGGCTACATGACCCAGCCAGCGCAGCCTTGCCTGCCGGAGGAGCTCACCGATGGGACCTTGCCCAGATCTTTCAAGGATTTGTGAGCTCCTCACACACTCCAGTCTGGTTAAACCCAGGATGTATCGTAGGCAGGCTAGCCTAAATGTTTCTAACCGGCGAAGATGTTCCATTAGGGGGGTCCCCACCCACGCACACTATGGGGGACCTACGTTCTCGTAAGGTGTTTTATTCTACATGGCCAATATTCAATGTACAATTTGAAGTGTCATGACAGATCGTTATGAGAAACTACAATCATTACATTGATCTCATGATTTGGTTTGGATGTAAAAAATCTAAATGTTCACGCACACTTTAGTTTTGAGCTGCTATACCAGAATGCACACCAACAGAGCTATCAGATCATATACTGTATAGACTAAGCTAGAGCCTTGAACATTCTGTTTATCAATTCCCATGCTATTGTAAATAATTTACATGTGATCACAGGCCATATTCTTGGATTTGCGGTGCTGTTGTTGCCCATTGGGAGGCTCACATCGCTCTACCTGCACCTTATGGCTGGCTTTCTACTGGCCAGCACACACATTATTGCAAGGTAAGACACACAAATACATTTTGAACATTGGAGTATTTATCTTGACATTGGGAGTTATTTCACCTTGATAAATACTTGTCTGATAAAAAAAACAAAAATGTAATTTCAATAATTTGCTTTCTTGTGTTTTTTTTTTTCTCTCCAGAAGTTATATTGACTTTTCACTTACATCAGAAGAGTCTGTTTATGCCAACCACAATTTATTCATTCATCTAATTGGAGCTATATTAGGTAAGAAGTAGTTCCGGCAAAATATTCCAAATAATGTACGTTGTGTGCACGTTCTAATGTGCTATTTTCTCCAGTTAATTGAGCAATGTGTGTTTTTTTCAGCCCAGGTTTTGGTGGAAGTGCTTTGTGCCTGCTGCCTCAAGACCCGGAAAGTTTGGCGTTTCATGGGCTCCTCCCTTCCCCTTATTGGGGTCCTCTGTGGCCTTCCTAGCTCTGTTCTTCCTCTGCTACAGCGGTTTGCAATCACCCTCAGTGTTATTCAAGTAATGTATGCCGCATTATCAAATATCTACCTGCCTTACTACCTGCTGCGGCAAGCGTGGGCAGAGGGACGCCAGGTTAGTCTTAATAATTTTAAAACTACCCTAAGTCCAGCATTTTAAACACGAGGTTCTCAAGTGTAACGCGTTGATTGCCTCAGCCTGGTCACAAAATGACAGCATGTGGTTTATCTATATGATATCTCTGAGAATAAAAACTAAAATATGAATTTGTCATCTGACTATATCACAACAGAGCTTTTGGGAAAGTATGCTTCCTACTGTATGAAGAAAAAAATATTACTTGAAGTATTTTTGAGCTGTTCTTGAAAATGTATTTTGAGCGACATTCTCTGATTCACCAGGAGCACTGCTCTGTGAGATTTACATATGTATTCTTGATTTAATGACATGACGCTCATGACACAATTAGACAAAATCATGAAAAATATCACGTAAAAAAGTGTTCGTGCGTAAAGTCAGATATGGCTTTTGCACAACTATGACATTTGGCACTTGGACACATTCATGCAGTCAGTTGTAATGTTTGTTGAGGGACAATGACAAAGTACAAGGTCCTTCCACGTCACGATAAACATGCACAGTAAAGAGTAATAGTCAAAGATAATCTTTAATTATGCTTGGAAATTATATTCTCTCCATATTATCTCTATCCCAGCTTCACATTGTACTTTATTGATAATGAAGTGCTGAAATTTACATATTTACCTGATATTCGGCAGCATATACCACTTTTTTAAACAAACAATACATATCACTGCATATATTATATTATTCATATAATATTTCATTGACTGGTTGCATTGTATTTCCCACATTTTCTGTGCATGTAGTTGATGGCTGCTGAAGGCATTGTCACGCTACTGATCTTCATGTGGCAACAGCTGTCCGTACCCTCGCTTTTTCTGACCTTCTGGCTGGTCCAGTTCATGACTCAGACTTCGCTGCCACCATTGGACTCTAAGGAGGACAACCTGGTGCTTATACTCACCAGGTGAACTCACAAAGCCGAGGACATCCAATATTAGTCACGTTGGTTTTCTTACATCCGATATGTCCATTATATGTTTGACGTAGTGCATTGCAGCATCCGCTATCTTCACTTTCATAAAGCCAATTGTCCTATAAATAGTTTCATCCATGGTGGCTCAGTGGTTTGTGCATTGTGCTATGAACCCGACGCCCCGAATTTGTTTCACAGCTCTTGTTAACAATGGTAGCGAGTGATATCACGGCTGAATCTGGGCATCCCCGCCATTTACCAACCTGTACTAACCAACAAACAAACAGCCCCCATGAGCAACAAAGCTTGGGGCTGCCTTCTTCCAGCAGTGGATTGTCAAAGGGCTATTAAATATTATACTTACTGAGGCATGTACTGTGTATTTATCCACCGCGAGCCCACAACCTGGAATTATTATCCCTAAATTGTTATTAAAGTGTTATTCTTATGGCAAGTAGAGCAATACGTTTTTACTTAACCCTTATATTCTTCCACACATATTGTTATTATCAATGACTCTTCATTCGTTGTTGTTTGTTTAATATTGCAGTGTAGCCAAGTGCTGCGGTAGCCCATACCTCCTGCTGGGCCTGACATCTGTGGTGTCCCACGTAGCCCAATCTTTGCTGTCCCTATGCAGACTTTACCTGCACGGTTTCTCTGTGCTTCTACAGCAAGACGCCGTTTACCGGTAAGATGCTTACTTGCACTGAACACATGACATACTCATTACAAATTGGCAAAACTTTGTTGTCATTTAGCTATTGAACATATTTTGTCGTGAAAATATTTTGGTAATACTGCATTGACAGTGGTGCACAAGCTCAAATAACAAAAAGCGCAACATGTTCATCAATAACACTGCCTTAAAAAGAAAATCAATATAAAAATATAAGAGATGACGTTTTGGGCAATGGCCCTACTTCATAGCGCATAAAATAATTGTATGGCCCTTTATCATCGCATATTAAATTATTTTATGTACTATGAAGAAGGGCCATTACTCAAAAATTCGCATTGTCCTTTAAAGCCAGTGTTATTGATGTACACGTTGAGCTTTTTGTAATTAGAAGTTGATGTAAATGAAATGTCTCTTGTAGAGGGCAGAGTGATGATACAGTGGTTATTGCACCACACTATGAAATCTAGCAACCAGAGTTGTATTCCCATCCATGGTTAACACCATTGGCGAGTGACACCTGAACTGGTCCTCGGGGCCATAGTTTTTGGAGGGGGTCACAGTTTTTGGAGGGGGTCACTTTCGCCGATAAGACATCAGTGTGAGGGCCGCCACACATTTGAAACTGTTTGGTTTGACAACACGATGGGGTGTTTTCACATTTATGTATTGTCGGGGGCGCACCTCAGGGGCTGCACTAAAGGCCACCAGGGCTCGCCAGTGGCCTGCGGGTCTTGAAAATAATAAGACTGCCATAGAGACTGGAGGCGGTTGGGGTGGTTTTCCCCAGGCCTCGGTTTCGTAGAGGCCTTGAAAAAAAAAGACTTATAGTCTCCGTGGGCTCTCACCTGGTTTAAACATAGATTTTATCTTTTGAATCGCCCTGACCAGTGAACCACCCAGCCACCTCAAGAATGCTGTGTCTCTTGATGTGCTTCACGCAGGGGAATTTCGGAAGGCGTGATGTTTCTGATGATGGCGATGTGTACGGGGCTACTGGAGCTGCAGCTCGTGCATCGAGCTTTCCTCCTCAGCATCATCCTCTTCGTTGTGCTGGCCTCCACCCTGCAATCTGCACTCGAAATCTCTGAACCTGTTCTGCTCAACTTGGCTGCTGCACGTGATAAGTAATTTAAACTTCAGTTGTTATCAAAGCACGATAATTACTGATCATGTTAATTATCGTTTGGTGATTCATATTGGTTCTGCGTTTTGGTGGTTGTGAAAACAGACGTGTTTTTTAAATAATAAAATATAAGGTGTGTTATAGGAAGATATTGATGCATCAATTCAATGATTCAAATCGATTGTTAGAGGTGGCTGGGTGGCTCAGACGTCAGAGCATTGGGCTGGCATTGCTGAGGTCCCGAGATTGAATCCAGGAAGCTTTCTAATTAAACTAGATTCTCAAGTGTAGCTAGTTGACGGTGTCTGTATATATTTAGATTTTTTCGTCTCATGTTTGAATACTGGTGCAATTAATATGTTACTATCCGTTATTTTTCAACGCTGTTGTATATTAACCTAAAGTGCAAATTCAAACAGCATAGCACTGCACTTACAATCTGATCTTTTGTGATCTGGCAGGAATCGGTGGAAACACTTCCGTGCGTTGAGCATGTGCTTGTTCCTGTGCCTCTTCCCGATGTTCCTGATGTGGAGGATCAACCTGCTTCTCCCAATGGATTCCTGGCTCATCCTTATATCAAGCACTGTGTTAACGGCGCTCCAGGCATGGATACGCACCAAACAACGCATGGTTCAGTTGTGCCCTTGACAAGCTTTCGCATTATAAATTGGATCCCACAATTCCATCAACCTTAAGCAGAAATGTATTTTAGGCCGTTATTGGACACTTTTTTAGCACAATTACACGAGTTGCTTACAAAACAGCAGGTTGTGGTGTCCATTCTGAGGGAGTGTGACCGCTTTGTGTTTTCTGTTTACAGGCAATGAGTAGTATCGTTATCTACTTACTCTTCTCCTTTGAAGAGCAGCGTGACTGGCCTCCCGAATTCATGGACGATGTTGTCTATTACCTGCAGGTAAGGATAATACGTTTTTCTTAATTATAACTTATATTATGACATGTGTTCTATCATTGAATTAGATGGAAATCTCAAAGAGCTTACTGAATTTTTCGCATGTTTGAATATTTTAAGTGTACAGTTTAAAACATTAAAGATACATTTGCACACATGCCCACCGTACTTTTCAATATTTTACATAGGTTTTGTATAATAGTACATTTTAACTGTTAAGACAATGGCAGGAATGCATAAAAAAATGTAAGAATATGTATGCTGTGTTTTATATAACAGGCTGGCACGAATGTGTGAGTATTGCCAATTTAATTGATAGGGTAAGCAACTTGAAAGTTATTAATTGAACAAACAAACAGATTGTTGTTAGATATATTCTATAAAAAAGAGGTCACATTGTATGGGACAAATGTGTAGGATAGACGAAAGCAGGTTCAATTACATGCATTACAATGGGCACCCAGAGTTCAGAAACAAAGGGAGAGACATAGCCAGATGGTGACATACTGTAAGAGCAGTCCTTAAATGTCAAGTGTCAACATTACAACAAACTACAAGATCTAATGGAAGGAAGGGAGCGATGGTGAGGTGTAGCAGCATCAATGGCAACAGCCATGATGACGATCTCTTGACCTTAGCTGTCATCACCCATGCCTTCAGGGGTTTTGCCGCGGCCTGGAGTTTTTGGCATCCCTGGGGCTCGTGGTGTTCAGCCTGCTCGAGTGGACGGGCGGTGGATGGAGCTGGTCCGGCGTGACTGTGGTGCTCGCCTACGCCTACTACAACCTGTGGCAGCGCGCACATGCCGGCTGGCGCAGCCTGAAGCTGCGGCGCATGGCTGGATCCCGCGTGGCTGCCATGCAGAGGGCCTCGCCGCAACTGTTGGCGCAACATGGAGACGTGTGCCCAGTCTGTTACCAGGTGTGTGCATACGCCAAAACATTGGAAACGAGCCAAGCAAATGTACTGGATCACCTAAAGTTTTCATTCCACTCCTTTGAGCTGTGAGACGTTTAAAGCTGCCAAACGTTGAGATGGCTCAGCCGGGACACGTGGTGAACTGGGGTAGCACCTCCATTCTTCATCTTCAACCTTGCCCACTTTTCCAAAGTCACGCCCACTCAATCGCTAGCCCACTCAATCGCTAGCCCTGAGAGGCCTTTGCAATTTTTTTTATGTTGACCCACCTACTGCTCACAGGCCAACCTCCTCTGCCAACACTGTCCACTACTCCGGTAGCCCCACCCTTGGTTCATATGATCATGCACGATGCCAGAAAATGTTATAATGGGACGAAATCCAGATTTTAACAGATTTTTATGGATACCGGGATAGCTTTTGTAAACCGAGACTGAGCTGGTGAAAGCAAGACAATTTGTAGTTACATTACAGTGACTATTAGAATCTGTTTTATGTCCAAGGCTCAGAATCTATACATGCCATATGAGATTAATTTTAATGTTCAAGGTTTGTGTGATCGGTATTGTACATTTTAGAAAATGTTTGTACGATACATGGCTCACATTGTGTTGTGCAACAAAATTTGTCTCCTGTTTTATTTTAATCCACTTCATTTTCTGTTGCTAAATTAAAATGTTAGCGTTCGCACAAAAAATATTCAGATAGGTGTTAATTGCTTTTTTTAATAATTAAAAAAAAAATGTCATACTACTCCTTGCTTAACTATTGTTTTAAATTTTGTTTTATCTTCAGGACATGAAGGTGGCAGTATTGACTCCTTGCGGCCACATGTACCACCCCAGTTGCCTGCGCAAGTGGTTCTATGTGCAGGACACTTGCCCCATGTGCCACCGCAAACTCGGGGCAGAGGAAAGCAGCAACAACGTCGACACGGCAGAATATGATGCTGGGCTCAGACCCCCACCAGATGCCCCCCAGCCTAATGGAGATGCAATGTGAATATTACAGCAGATACTTGCTCAATGAGGACTTGAAAACACAATAAAACACACGTGGATATAAACAATAGAAGCGTTCTGCATGCTGGATCAACACAGCCTCACACAATCAATACTAGCCTACCACATATTGTCTTGTTACAATTCGCGGCAGGAATTCACCAAAACACGTGAAACGGGGATACAGAAAACTTGTTTGAAAAGGCCACCACCCTTTGCCAACTAAATGTTCTGCTTTACACACAATTGTGGCCATTCTGAACGGGTTGTTGCATTGCTTGTGGGGGGCATGGTGTTGGTAGATTCAGAAACAAAATATCCAAGAAGGCTTGCTGCTACTCGCCATGCTGATAAAAAGCCTTAGTGGTATCACAAGGTGGAGATGGAGCAGTGGCACAGTAGTTAGCATACTATACACTACTAACCTGCCCAGTCCTGCTTAAAGGCAAGAACCCCCCTGCTCGTGAACCTACAAGGGACCCTTCACCCCTCGCTGTGTAATGTGTCACTTGTCACCCTCGCAAATAAGATGTTACATCTCGAGGGACTTTCCAGGTTCAATATTTTAAATAAATAAATAACCCACTCACTTGAGATTCACAGACACGGCTCAGTGGTGGGTGATATCAGAACTTTTCCTGGGCCACCCTACAAACCTACACGGACCAGTGTGGTGAAGTTAGGTCAAGAACCCACATGACAGTGTGGAGAGGCCTTAATCCAGAAGTGGATTAACATAGAGCTGTTATTTTTTTTCTTTTATCAATGTGAAGAACAATTTCAGCGTGGTACGGAGATTATCAATTATGCATCGTTGTGTAGATGATAGTGCAATCCACCATCGGGATTGGTTTTTCTGGCTTGCAAACATATACTAAAAAAGTTGAAGTTGGTTATAGGGTTCAGCTGACAATGATAGGTTAACTTTTTATTGATTCATTAAGACATTATTGTGGCTACCGTCGTTCCCTAGAGGATGACTTCGTTCTAAAATCATTCAGAAATGGCCACTGCCATCATGGGATATTTTCATTTTCGGTGAATGCCATTGACCCAAACATTGTTTTAATCACTCGTACACACACAACGGAAACAGTCATAGTACATGGCAACATCACATGTACCCCACTCGCGGGGACCTGAGGTCTAGACGAATATGTGAAAAGGTTGAATTTGATGAACATCTCAAGAAAATAGCACTTTACAACATACGCAAATAGGTTAGTGGACAAAAAAGTGAAAATTGTCTGAACATGGGTAAATGCTTTCCTATCTATACTCTAGACGTACGCAAAGGTAGGGAAGGTTAAGAATTCATTCCTGTATATATGAAAAGGTAAAGATTTGTTGAACATCTATAGCGAATGACAGTTAAAGTGTGGACATACTGCACTGGGCGTGCACAGGGTGGCTACGTGATGGACGAATATGTGACATTGTACTTTCCAATCATTAAGATGTTGTGTACTCGAGCAAAATATATTGTAACCAAATTATAAAATACACAATAGTTACTTTAACTTGAGAGACGGGGGCTTTTTTCCACACGTGCCTTCATGAATGTTTTTGATTTATTAGTTTGCGTGTTTGAGGAGCAAGAACCCTCTGAATTTCACTCTGCGTACAACCAAATCGTAATTTTTACCTATAATCTGCATCAGGATGTTGGGTATGATTATGACTTTTGTAATGAATATTGGTTTGGCCCCGTAAGTTTGAAAAAGTACATACTGTAGATATAATTTTTCTAAAGTTTCAACGTTTCCATCGATGTGAAGTTGGAACGTTTTGTAATTGTATTCAATTGTTCCTGGTGTAACTCGTTTATGTAAACGCTGAATTGTGAAAAAAGCTTGAAATGTTAATAAAATGTTTATTTTTGTGTGGTTACTGACTTCATATTTGTCGTTCGCCATATCTGAATTTTGACCCCTTGATTGTAATATCAAAAAACAACAGGAATAGCTAACACTGCTCTTGGAGCCTGTTGAGATTAAATGGCTCCCCCTGACCACACACACAGAGCTCAAGTTCTGGACTATTATAAATGCTAAAGTGGACAAGCAGTGTCAGGGCCAGTAATCCACATTAGCTAAATTTTTTGGGTGAAAAGATAAAATACATATATCCTGTCCTGTATATTTTACAAATTTGACCTTTACAAACTACCGATCCTAAGATACCTTTTGATAATCTAGGAGGCGTTATCCAGACCTACAGATTAGCCGCATTGTCGATTATCTGATTATATAACCTATTATTGATTCATAATTACTATAGCCCACTGTTCTTCATTGCAAGGCCCGCGGGCTACTGGCAGTCCCTGGTGGCCTTTAGTGCGGCCCCCAACAATGCACCAATGTGACAAACCTCCCCATGATTGCTGTCAAACCCCAATGGATACAAATGTGTGGCAGCTCTCATACTGATGATGTCTTATCGGCGACAGTGACTCCCCTCTGCAAATGAGTGAAGAACACTGCTCTCGCCTGTCTGCAATGTTGATATTTTGGGTATGTGCAACTTTCAGCACAATGCCGCACCTGCCAGAGTACATTTTTGTAAAACGAAGACTCCGCTTATTTACTGAATGGAAATATAAGTCGGTGCCATAAAGCATTTCCCCGAAATTCCTGTAGATGCTTGGGATGTGACTGAATCGTCGATTCAGAACGACGATTCAATTCAAGAAATAGTGTAAATGTTTCGGCATCTCATTGGTATCTCTATTCGATCTGATTTACAGTTCTGTTCACTATATTGCCTAAATATACCAATATGATTTGATTACATTGAAAAAAAGCGTTGATTCATACATGCGATTCTGTGAATGTACTATGAACCTTATAAATAGATAAGTATATATTTGTCTGAGACATTTACAAGCACGACATTTAATACCAAATGCATTTTTAGTTTTAACCAGCAGATGGCGGCCCTCGCCTAATGATGGCAATGATTAAAGCCGTTTTCGGTTTTGTATGAACGGGCATTAATGTCTATGGTTGTGCATTTTTTAAATGTAAACTCAAACATTCTGCATTTAAGGAAGAATGATACGGAACATTATGGTTCTGTTGCCCTCCCCTTCACCAACCTTCACAACCAGCATGGTAAACTATGCCCAAACCCTCCATGTATGCATGTATGTTGAACTTCTTTCGCACTATACGTAGCCAACCGTGCTTATCGGAGGTGCGGAGGAACGACAACGAACTAAAACAAAAATAAAATCAAGACAGAAATTAGTTTTCAATCTACATTCAAAAGTGCAATGCTCCAGTGGCTTCCTAATATCAAAAGGAAGAGCGTTCCAGACGGCCGCAGAAGCGCATCTGAAAGCGCGTGATGTAGTGGACCGTCTTTGTCAAGACATTGAATGGTAAGGCTTTCATCCAGCAGTGGATTGACAAAGGGCTGTACATCATTATTTGAATATGGATCATAAACATTGTGTTGAGATTGTACAGCAGTCACACGATAACCAATTGTAAAATGTAACATCTCAATGAAATAAAAGTTGAATCATTTGTAAGACATAGTTTTAGTTGCTCCAATGTCACATGGTAAATTGGCTCGAGCAACCGGAAGAAGCACTACCAACCACAAACAAATAACCAAGAATAACGTTCGGAGTGATTAACAATTGTTCAGTGGACTTCAGCGTGCAAATTAAACGTGTAGAGTTTTAATTGCTTAATTTTCGCATTACTCTAAAAATACACGGTGTTATTTTACAAAGTTAGAGCTACTGATGACTTGCTAGTGATACAGGGGCTCCAGAATAATGTGTAACACCCGTACACGTGCTATCACCTTTTGCGAGAATGCGGCTGCGCTGACAACCCTCTTGCCTGTTGGTCACGCTCTGCCACCAGTAATTATGATTGGTCATTGATAGTTCAATTCACATGTGCATGGGCATTTAATATATGTATAAAAAAATACAATTTTCAACTGCACAAATAGAACAATTCTATAAAAAGCGTCGTTATGTGATTGCATCTCAAGACGCTGTACAATTAGGAGAAAGACTGTGAGGATTTTTTTTTTGCTTATGAGCAGGAGAATGCCACCGGCGAGAGAGGGAGCTGATATGACGTTATGGCGGAATTGCATGTGAAGACACTTCATAGGGGATAGTCATGTGCAGAAGAGTAGAGGATCATCTTCAGTCAAGACTCACACAGGGAAGAGTATGAGCCGTGTAGAGAGGGTCAGAGCAAGGGAATTCGAGACTATGGGGAAGATCTACAGAAGGTATGTACTCTCGTAATGCAAAGGTTGACTGAGGGTTTTGGCAGAAGACCTTTATGGTCACTAGAGCCGAGGACACCTGAAGGGTGGTAGAGCAAGTCGAGAGGGGAAATGTAGGCAGGAACAAGCCCACAGAGGCTCTTGTAAGACGGCGAGTGTAAACTTGAAAATTGTCCGGGACTGAGAATCTGAGAACACGTGTGCACACTTCCAAAATTGTGCAAGGCGCCATTATGAAACATCCGTTTTGACGCAGTGGTTGTCCTACGGACAGACTCTCCCTCTGCCATAGGAGTGTGGAATTTCTACCACTGGCTCAGAGCTGTGAACGGGAGATGAGCACTAATTCAGCGCTTTTTTTAAAGCAGGAAATCACTTTGACTTTGACTCTTTTTTTTGTCACACAGAAGGAATTTGCACTACAGATGGGAGGCTAAAAAGCGAGCGTAGCTTTTCTGTTTTTTTATGTCTGATAATTCTGCAAATCTTATGGGGGCGCTTTAGATAAAGGCTAACGACGTTGTTTATAGTTGTTCTACGGTCGTGCCACGGCAAAGTTATCAAGCAGAGCACCCCGCAGTGGATAGCGCTGCGTTTGACCTTCATGGATTCAGCTGGCCGAGCTCCGACTCGCCTGGTCGCTCACTTGCAGAACCCACACGTGGTCTCAATCTAGGGGCAAACAAAAAGGGCCATTAATAGCCGTGGCACACTCACCACAAATCCCCCGCTGGGCACACTGGAAGTTAACCAGCACTCCTGTAAAGGGACGCACAATTACATGCCCACTTGCTAATCAGGGCTACTTTACGTTCGCGGAGCGAGTGCACAGTTTAACCACCGCTTCAAATAACAAAAAAATAACCGAATGACGCTGGAGGGTAGAGCTAAGAATGTGGCCGGTGGTCATTCTGTCGGTTGGCCCTGGGAGCGCAATTGCCTCCAACTCAGAGACAGCTCCTCGATGTGGGTGAAGGGGAACTCGAGTTCATGTTTAGGAGGTCATCATTGCCAGTGCCGTCGAAGCCACCGCACCTCGCCACTGCTGTCTTTACTTTTCCAGGTCGCACAGCAATATTGACCCCTGACCCCTACACGGAGGACATGGATATGAGTTTGTCCTCCCAATATAATGATCTCGACCCTCCGCCGTAGTAAACCCCTGTGCAATGTGTCATATAGTCGCCACTGAAATGGATGAATTAGCGACAGCACTTAGCGGTCATTTGTTATTGCATATAGCTTTGTAATACGCACACAACTGGGCGAGTCCAAGCTTCACCTCATCGGCTATTTACGGTAATTGTAGGTAAGAGGACGTGAACAAAAGAGCCCCTTGTAATATTAAACCGTTGCATCTGCAGATTAGTGAAGGCCACCACTGTGGAGATATTGCTTGGAGTTTGTGCAGCACAATATGGGCCCTTTACACGTTGCGTTATTTATTATTTTCCTATGCACGGAGGGTGGGGGGGTAACTAAGGCATTTGTTATTCAAAGAGGTAATACGTGCGACTCAAAGAACGCGCGGATAGGTGTGGTAACATAGGCCCGAAGACAGACATTTTCATTTACAGATAAGAGGCAGTACAGAGGTGGCACGGGAGTGAGAGTCGCGCATTTGATTATCATTACAATGTAAGGCGTAGGGAGTGAGACACTATATTTAATGGTTTCAATACAGTTATGAAGCGTTTGAACATGGTGGTCTAGATGTCTTGTAACGCCCCCCAATTAATTGACACCTAGCATTGTTTTCCTTTTAATATTCATTTCTGTTTTAAATAAACCTTGCTTACAAAAAGATTACGTTTTAGAGAATTAAATAGAGGTTAAAAGACATCCGAACCACCGTGTCCAATGAGATGGAGTTGACAGGGCTTCTTGGAGAGGATAATATTACAATGGGACAGGAGGATGCACAAGGATTTTAAGCTGTACAATTGCAGTAAAGGGCATACGAATTCAAGACTAGGAGGGAGAATATTATATTTTATGAACGAGGCATATGGATTTGTGATGTACGGAACAGAGCGATATGGCTGTTGATCAGGTTGTGGGTGGGAAAGTGTAAAGCGGCTGTATGTGTGACATAAGATATAACCATCATCCACTGTGTGAGCTCGAGAAATCACAGAATTGTATTCGTTTGAGAAATGCCATTTTTATACGATAGTTTTGGAATCCCTCAAAGCCTGACATGAGAATTTTTTGGGCGCAATTCTGACACTGCCAACTAAAACGGTCAGGACTGTTGAACTGTCCCTGCGAGGATTTTGACGTAATGCGAAACTAATACGAAATCATGACAGCTAAAGCCACATAATCGGATCTTGCACTGTGTTCGGCACAGGCCTTGGCCTACACACAGTAAGGTCTTGGAGGAGGCACAGAGGAAGAGGAGGCTGGTAGCGACGCGGGTGAAGGAGTTACGTGATAACGTTAGCCAGGGGACCCATTGACTTGTACGGACAGGCCCATTAATTTGCGCCATTTAACACCCATTGTTGCATCCAAGCAGCAATAGTGACGGGGGTCGCATGTGTGCCTACAGGAGCAGGCTCGGTCAGAATTAATCGGAACAGCAAATCGCTGAGGCCGCCCCGTCATTAACGCGGAGAGAGGGAGAG